GTAAGTAAGTAACGTAAGTAACGTAAGTAAGTAAGTAACGTAACGTAAGTAAAGTAAGAAGTAAGTAAGTAAGTAAGTAAGAAGTAAGAAGAAGAAGAAGAGAGAGAGAGAGAGAGAGAGAGAGAGAGAGAGAGAGAGAGAGGGGGAAGCATTCATCCATTGAGAAAGCTTGTCCTAATGGAAATGAACCAAAGCTCCAACTATTCACCATACACAAGACTTGGAGGTCACAACATAATATGAAATATATAATATGGTTTGTATTGATAGATAGAAAGAGATGTTTGTCAAGACATTGATGCTTCTCACACTTAAATATGAAGCCTCGGGACACCACAACACTCAAAAAGTAGCATAAACTGAGACACCATTCATAGTATTTTTAAGTTTGTTTCCTTGGGTGAAGGGAAGGGCGAGAGAGATGACATATGTATGGGTACCAAGACAAAATGCTGAGAGAACACCCAGCCCTATCCAACTACGCTAACTAAAACTTTTTCCCTTTTCTCCTTTCACACCTCTGTACCTATAATAAAAACAAGAAAAAACCCCAATCAATCAAGACACTATAATTGAAAAAAACAAAAAAAAAGAAGAAAGAAGGAAATGACGAGGGCCAGGACTGGCACGAGCCCTAGCCCTAGCCCAGCTCTCTGGCCACATCCTATTGCCGGGCTGACAGGGCTTAGGTCTCCGGTCGCCCAGCGCATTACAAGCAATAAGAGAGACAAAAATAGAATTAAAATTCGACTTAGGGTCTTTCATTTTTTTTGTATAAAGGTTGAGAGAGAGATAGAGAGCAAAATGGAATTTGTAGAGTAAAAGGATGGAAATTTTAGAGAGTAAAGAGAAGTAAGTACCCGAGTCTCGGGGTGCGTTGCATCTGAAGCATTCCATCCTGCTCGCAAAGTTGTGCTCATTGCACCCAGACCTGACAGTCACAGTCAAAAATTTATTTTCTTTTTGTTGTTTAAAAATGAACTTAAGTTTACTATCATAATGGAAATTGTTTTTTAGGAAAAGAAAAAGAAAGTGCAAAAATATGATAGTGTTCTAGGAACCATATAACCATTAAAAAAAGAAAAAGAAAAATGTGTTCTAGGAACCATAGAAACATGATGAACTCTTTTTTACCTTACAATGGACTAGCTTTAAGGGCAGTTTAGTAATTCATGATTTTCATGAAACGAAAAGAAAATTTTAAAAATATTGATCTAAGTTTGAAGATGTTTTCCCACTTTTCCTGAGAACCTTGAGCCATAGAAACAGGAAACATCATCATAGGACCACTATTAAAAAAAAAAAAGTTTCCAAAATTTGAAAGTAGAGCGTGTAGATTTTCAACATATTCATTTGGTGATTATAATGTTGAAATTTCAGAAAAAAAAAACATGCCCTTATTGTGTCTCATGCTCGATGGAGCACGGCTATATATGCTCCCGTGGAAGTACAAGTTGAGTTCCACAACAAATAAAAAAGCACATGAACACAAACCTCGAAAATTTATTGGGTGTCGTCCTTATTAACAATCAGGTGCACCTTCAAATTGTTTCGAAAGATTTTAGTATTGAAAATATAATTGTTTCCAAAGATTTTAGTATTGAAAATCTCTATGATGGTACAAACTAATTATAAGATTTAAAATTATAAAAATTTTATACATCAAACATTTCTATAAACACTTACACATATTGAAAATTGATGGCTTAGAAAATACATTTCAAGGTGCGCTATTTTTTGTGACTTGAATCTATTTTTTCTGTATCTATACATCGATATTGATACAAAACTCTTCTAATTAAGGTGTGCCTTTGATTGTATAGACTTTGGACCCTCTTTCCTTTTTTCTTTTTTTTTTATTTAGACCCTCACCCTTATGTAAACTTTTCCTTTTATTATTTAGTTTCTATGTATAAAATAAAAGTATACGTAGGATAATAAGGGTGAGGTTTGTATAAGGCGTATGTCAAAAATGCAGTTTCAGTGCTACAAAGCACTGCAATGATATGAAAATATATTGTTGATGCTTCTAATTATGAAATTTAAAGTAGGTGAAGCAAATCTATAAATATTTAAAAACTTTGAAAATATACGGGCTAAATAATACATTAAAAAATAAATTATTATTAATTTAAAATCTTTTTTCTCGTGTCTTTGAATCTTGAAATCTGAATTTAAGAGTTTTTGAGCACCAGAAAAACATTCACTAGTGGGTGTTTTAGATGCACCGTACCAGTTTTAGGTGCACCATGCCACTACAATATAAAGTGAGAACTTATATAAACTTTTTCCGGATAATAATGAAGCCAGAACACGTAGGCCCCAACACACATGGCCATAATTACGTGTCATTTCTTACGTCACGTGTGTGTGGGGCTTGGAGAGAGAGAGAGGGACACTAGAGATTGAGAGTGGTCCATCAATTTTGATGGATCAATGCAACCAAACCTCAACAAAACAACGAAAAGAGAGAAGGAAGAGAGAAATGAATATAGAGAGAGAAAGGAGAGGTCGAAGTATGAGAAGATAGGTAGAGTGAGAAAACGAGCTCGGGTTAAATGGTTAGTGTGTTTCGCGGTAGTTTTACAACGGTACATCTCATGCTCCATTCCTATACCGTGATAAAAGATTATCAGTATACCGTGATAAAAGATTATCACTAGATGTCAGACTTCATTCCTATACCGTGATAAAGGATTATTTCATTCCTATACCGTGATAAAGGATTATCTCCTCAGTCATCGGGAAAAAAACTTTTTAAAAAAAAATTAAAAAACTTGTTAAAAAAAATAGAGATGTTATGGACCTTGTGCAAATCCAGTCTCCTGATTTCCAGCCGGCTCGTCCACCCCCACTGAAAGAGGAGCCGAAGCCGTAGCCGCCCCTGCGGGGCGGCTCCGCTCCGTCGTAACCGCCGCCGGCTTCATCCTTAAACGCGCCGCACTTGAAGCAGCTGGATCTGCTGGCGAAGTTGTGGGCCCCACAACCGCTAATTCTACAGTACCAATCCCCCGGCCTAACGTCAGAGCCACCGCCAAAGCCTCCTCCGCCTCCGCCTCCGAAAGATGAGCCGCCGCCGGTCCTCGGTTCATTGCAGCGCTGGCAGGAGTCGCGTCGGCTGAAGTTGAGGTGCTGGCATGACCTGCAGTTCCAGTCCCCTGGTTTCCTGCTCATTTTCTCTCTCTAAAAATACCTACCCCTGCCAATAAACAAAAAAAATTTAGAGAGAGAGAGACCAAAAAAATTTAGAAAGAGAAGGGCGAGTGGAATTAGAGAGGAGAACATACACGACTATAAAATAACACAGTAAGAGAGAGAAACAAAAAATCCTGGCAAAAAAAACTCTTCTGAAAATCCGACACGATTTAACAACCAAAGAGAGAAACCAATGTTTTGGAAACCCCATCAAGAGAAGAGAAATCCATGAAGAGGGAAGGTTGATAGAGAGAGAGAGAGAGAGAGAGTGAGAATACCTTACTGGTGTTTAACAAAAAAGGATGAAGATTTAGTGAGGGAGAAAAGCTTGTAAGATATGAGGAGGAGGAGGAGAAGAATGAATGGGAATAGAGGGGAAGGGAGGTTTATATATAGATGTGCATAGTTAATCGGGGCAGCAGGGGATCTTCTTTTCCACGTTCAGAGAATCAAAAGCAGTGAAAAACCGCTCTGGTTTTCCTAAAAAACGAGGAGAGACTAAAGAAAAAGAGAGCTCTGCAATATCTCTCCTCTCTTTGCTTTTTTCTTCACTTTCTCTCTCCTCTCTATCTTTCTCCATCTTGCTGACTGCCTGGCCCCGCGTATATACAGGTGGGACACACTACACAAACCCCAACTCAAATCTCTCTCTCTCTCTCTCTCTTTCTCTCTCTAAATCAACGCCTCTTTCTCTCTCTAAGCGCTCGTTTCGTGTTTCTGTAATGTTTCAGTCCTCTCGCTATCTTTGACCCGAATATTTCTATTTATGCTACAGTTATCCATCTATGATTCTCTAATCACATTTTATCTATGATTATACATTGACAAAACCCATGTTAATCTTCGTAATCAAGTAAAACAGCCACTCAATCGATCAAAGCTATAAATCAATATTTATCCATATGCTACAAAACGAGTATGGTGGGGAAAGGTGCTCCTCCATCTCTTGTTCACGTGGCCAGTCTCTTCTATTTTTTAATGTGATTCACCACAACCTTTTCCTTCTCTATTCTCAATTCTTACTTTGATTCTTCCATTTTAAAATAAAAATTTAAAGTTAAAACAAAAAATATTCTCTACTCTCACTCTTGTTTTTTATTCTTGAGCATATGTATTGTGCTCCCTCGGGAACGTATACTATACATTTACTCCTTCGACCAAAACACTTACCTACAAATAGTTTTTTTTTTTTTGCTCTTTTTTTAAAAAAAAAATTTTATATCCATCTAAATATAATTATATGATTATTAAAAATAAAATTAGATTTTAAGTTTCTGAATATCTAGATCATTCCCTCTAAATATTGGATGGTTTCATTGCAATCTTGGGACTGCCATTTGTTTAGGTGTATGAAACTTTCGAGTTTCTTTTTTTTTTTTCTCCTTTGAGGTTGGTTACCAAACATCCCAAAACATAGAAGACATTCCTAATGTGAAATTTTCCTGGTGGAATAGATGGATAGTAAACTCATGCATGATTAGAAAATATTTTAGTTTATTACTCTATTTTACTTTTAAAGTAAATTTTAAAAGTTTGACAAAAAAAAAAAATTCCTCTGACTTTTCCTAACTTCTATCCCAAGTTATATTGACACTGACAGACAAACATGTCTATTTATGACACGGATAGATTGCCAAAAACATGAACCCAAAAAATGAGATTTAGACCGACACTTCCGTACGATATGGAAGGAACAACATATATTAAAATATATATATAGTTCCTATTTGCATTTATACGTACAACATTTCATGTCATACAACAATAGAAAAATATTTAAAAAATAAAATAATTAAATAAATAATCCAAAAAAAGGTTACTTTGTGAATAAAAATTTCATTCATTAAAATTTCTTATGGTTCAATCTAAGGTTGCATTATAACAATATAGATAAAAGTTATAAGTTATTAGCTAATTATTAATTCAAAATGTTACACACTTATTGTATGACTATTAAAAATAGTTCTAATGAATTCATCAAAAATTACATTTTTATTCATCAGACACCATCTTCTCAATATCAATTTCTATAGATTATCTATGTTGTCTTCATTGATGCCCACATCCCAGTACCTTCATAGACTTGATTTATAATAATCTTGCCTCCTTGTGAGCAAGATGGTCAACATAACTTTTGAAAGTTGGACTATGTGATCAAGCACGGTGTATATAAATTAAATTTTATTTTATTTTTAAACCGGCAAGACTACTCTCAATATCCAATTACAAACAAATAACATGTTTATCACTCGCTACACTATTGAATATTATTCTTTAAATCAAAATCTTAACTCATTGCTTTATAAGAAGAGAATATCAAATCACAAATAAAGATTCAAAGAAGCAAAATTGCTGGAGATTACCTCAACAGGGCTTAGTACACCCCAAGTCTTCTCCTTTCGATGGTGCTCGAGATCTATGATTGGTCTTTTGATTCACCTACATATGGCAAAACACTCTTAATGACATATAGATATCAATACAAAACTAACGACCTAAGTGTTTGGGATCTAGGATCGGTCTCTTGATTCACCTACATATGACAAACCCTCTCAATAACATATAGATATCTATATATAACTAACTACCTAAGGAATCAATGCCTTAGTCTTGAACCAATTACCTAAGGCCTCAATGCCTTAGTCTTACTCAAATTACTAAAAAGGCCATCTCTTTGATCCACTACCAACATTCTAAGAGACTTATGGGGTAAGAGATTTGACTCATCCATCTCTTTAATCTACTATTAACATTAAAAAAGATGAGCTAGAGCTTTATCATCCCTTTAGTAGAGCTTTATCCATCCTTTAATCTATTTCTATCAAATCTTTAATCTATTCCCATCAAATCTTTATGAGACTTGTGGGGTAAGAGATTTAAGTCATCCATATCTTTCATCTACCATCAATTTTAAAAAAAGATGAGCTAGAGCTTTATTCTCCATATATTCTCATCAAATAGTTAAATAAAAAGAGTATATATCTTACTTTCTATTTTTAGTACATTTAATCCTTATTTATTGGATCATCCAATTTTGATTAAGAGATTTATTAAATATTTCAAATATTCAACTTATCAGCTAAATATTTTAAATATTCAACTCATCAGCTATATTAGATGGCTATACCCAAAAGATAAGCCAACAAACAAGGGGGTCCAATCTTGGAGAATAAATGAGTCCCTATGGGCGGGGGTGCCACCCTTTTGTGGCCACCCATTGGGCCCACCTAATCACACATGTTTTAAATTGGGCCCTCATATTTATGGAGGGTGTGATATAATTTTACAAAATATTTTATTTTGTTTTTAGAATTTTTAAATCTTATATTTTATTTAAAATATTGAAAAATTAGTTTATCTTAATTTCTAAATCCAAATGACAAAAATTAAAATTTGAGAAGATTCACAAAAATTCAAATAAACATTCTAAAAATCATATATCATAAAATTAATTAAAACTAATTAATTTTGATGGGAATTAGATATGTTAGATCTAGTGATTTATCAATATACAGGAGAACTCCACCTTCAAATGATGTCCATGATCCACTTAGCTTTCTCAAACTGACCCAGCAGTTCCCAAGAGCCACAGTCCACTGCAGGGGTTCATGATTGGACCACCAAAGTCAGCTAATAGACTAGGGGATGCAACCTCAAATTATGGATTTCAGGTTCTCTCGTAGAGACAAAAAAGATGGTCATCAATCATGACTTTATAGTGCATCATAGGGGTAATATCTCGCACATGTATATACTTCACCTTCATTGGAAAATCTCAAAACGACTATGTATGTACATACTATGTGATGATATAACGATGAGGTTTTAGCCATATCTCTAAAGGCTATTCATCACATGCAAGGGCCACACAGTCCCTTGGCTCTCATCTGGGCATACTCCAACCCTATCAAGGCCTAACCGATCAACTAAACTCTTCTCGGTAGATCTCTATGCCCAAGTATCATGGGTTTTTCCAAATTCGGCTGGTCTAGCATGTCGAACTTAGTCCAAGTATTGGCAACTCGTATTTGTCTACTATGATCCACAAGAGGACCACACTCCTACTGAATTTATGTTTCACTATATAAAATGCTCATATAAGCTCTCGTAACGCCTTTCAAGACCACCGAGACCCAACAACTTCGAGAGAGAAAATAGTTGAGAGGGGGAAACCCGAGAATGTTTTATGGTAGTTGAAATAAATAACAATGATTCATAAAAAGCCTAATTTAACCTAATAAAATTTATTTTATTTTATTTTGAATTATTTATTTTATTTAAATTATTATGTTATTATAAAATAAGTGTTACATTTAAAATAAATTGCTCTTCAATGGAGAGTAAAGTTTCTAAAAAACAAATACCATTTTCAAAAAAGATGCGTCTAAGAAAAAAGACTCAGCCGTGGACACTTATTAGAGGAGTCATATGCATGTGCATTTTTTCAATTTTGAATTTTTTTTGGTTGTGGCAAAAAAATTCTCTAGCTCTTTAACCTTTTTCACGAGGGATGAAGGAAAAAAAATTCCCAAGTCTCCCTCACCCTTATGGAGGGAGAAATTCGTGAACCCACTTGACTACGCTTGCGAGCCGTCACGAGCAGCTGCCTTCCCTGAGTAACGCACCAGTTTTAGGTTCCAAACGTCCACTTTATACTGACCTGGTGGTCCCGCCACGTCAATATCTTAGTGAACCCCCACCCTAGAATAATTCTACTTGACTCACCTGTCTCTTCTTGATAAAAACTAAAGTCGTCTTGGCATTTCCTTATGTGGAAGTTAAAAATTTTTTAATTTTTTTTTAAAAAATCAAAATTTCGGATTGATCAAAAAACAATTTTGATGAAAATAAAAAAATAGACTTGGCTGACCTTCTTTATAATTTCAACATATAAATAAAATAATTTCTATTTTACTTAAAATTTTAAAGTCCGTTATTTTCTTTAGTTTTGTTTTTCTAGATTTTGTTTTTATATTTTAATCATTCATTTCTCAATTTACTTTAAAACCTCGACGTGTTTTTTTTGTGCACTCGTAATAAATCTGGGAATTTTCTAATTTGTCACGTGTTTGATGTGTCCTTTCCATTTCGGCGAATGTTTGGATTTCGGGATCACGAAACTTCCGAAATTTTCGTTCGAAACAACGATCTCGGCACCCGGCGTACCAAAGGTGGATGCTTCAAGGAAAACGGGCGGTTCGGATGGTCGATATGACCACGTGGGACAGGCATAGACGGTCTAGATAAGCACACATACAGCTTGGAGTCACGTGTGGACGTGGAATAATAAGGCATACACGTGCTGGTTGAAGGAGGAGCCTGCATGTTGATCGGTGATTGGATAAGGAAGAACTACTCCTCTCTCTCTCTTCTCTCTTCTCTCTTCTCTCTCTCATTCATGATATAATTGTAACGCTTTTATGAGACAAATTCCATATTCCCCAATCCAACCTCCCCCGCATTCCTCTCTCTCTCTCTCAACATATATTCTTCTTTTCCCCGTCTCTTTCTCTCTCTACTTCTTTCTTCCTTCATTCCCCTTTTCTCCCACACGTCACTCTTC